AGCTACAACCCTAACACCAACCACAGTCATACCTGCAATGGGAAACCCAAATCCTTATCTCGTAACCCTTAACGGAAACCTTCAACGTAACCGTAACCGTAGTAGAAGCCTTAAAACTCTAACTCCCATTACAACCCTAACCCCGGAACACCAACTCTAACCTCAGTCCCTATGCCAAACCGCAACCCAAGCCTATAAACCCTCGTCCTAGCTCTTCTTTTGACACCAACCCCAAACCTAACCATGAGTCTGATGGGGCAACTTTAACGTCAACAGCGCTTTTAAAAACCAAAATCGGTTTCTCGTATAGCCCCTTTCATGATCTATTGCCGAGTAAACCATTAAAAAACACACCTACATAAATAGGATAATAGAGCGGACTTTTGAACAACCACCCAAGAGGGTCACATGTCCTACACGCACCGCAAAAGTCGGTAGTGATTGTTAAACCAAACACTGTCGAGATAGGCTGACCGGCTAGTCTCATACGTGAAGGTCTGCGTCCAAGCCACCACAGCAAATAACTCGAGGCAAGACGAGAAACAGAAGCCTTCCTGTAACGCATCTAGAACTGCAAAAAGTACTATAAAACGAACGAATGTGTGCAATGAATAACAGTATACGGCACGAAATCGACGTCTGCTTCATACGGTGAGTTGACTGGAACTATCTACTCTTTCTATCAGCATGATTTCCCTACCAGTTATTCGCATAGTCATCACAAAGGATCGGAAGTGCGACGGCATGACCACAAACTGCGAGTCTACAGTCTCTAGGTGGGATAGAAATTTGCTTCTGACAGCTGAACAGCTGCACAGCTGAAAGATGAGTGTTGTACACCGACAATCGAGTGTCAACTTGTTATTACCCGACCTGGTACTTGAAAGCATGTGGAGCGTATGCGCAATCGACTCTAGCCCCCAATACCAAAGCGACAGAGAATGAGAGCACGACCGACCACGAAAAAGTGTATTAGGAACTGCAAGTCAGGTCTAACTGGAAAAGTAACGCGTATTTATAACATCCTATTGGGGTTCGCCTGCATGCGGCCCAATGCACTTCGGGAAGAACATTCTGGACGAGCTGGTCGATAATGCGAATACACGGATCAATCAGGCCCAAGGGGAGCAGCCAATGGAGAGGCGCCACGATTATGCTGACAGCGCGGTAGAGAAAATGCACGCGGCCACCAGTGATTGGCTGACTCTTGTTTTTGGGGGTGTAGGCCCTCCCAACACAAATCACTTAACCAAATGTATGTAATTTAAGTACTGAAAGCCATGTGACAGTCACGTTGAGTGATCAACTCCATTTATTGTTGCCTGGTGTCAAAGATATCTCGCAAAGCATGGAATGATGAAAATGGGGATGATGGCTTCTTACAGATAGTTGTTTGTCAAACAGCCAGTGGTCTGAATGCGATAACATGACGGCTGGGGAAGCGACTGGAATGATAGTTTTGGTCTTGTCTGCCGTCATAAGTTAGCCATATCTCAACCACAGGCGGACAGGGGGTCGACGATATGAATCGGAGTCCGATGAACATCTAATCTTTGAGTCAAGCGCACTGCTGGCCAAAGCTGCGGACGCACGTCCTGTTGATTGTAGTCGTTCAACTCGCATGCTCGAGGTTTGACTGATCCGGTTTCATACCTACAGTCTCCCTCGTCTGCGGTTTGGCCATAGATGGCTGGCAGCAGGAATCGTATTCCTTGCCGGTATTCCTTCCACACACTGCACCCATTCCTCCTTTTCGTGGAGG